TAATATAATAATAAAAAGTTGTTCAGTTTATTTTTCCGCATAACATTTTTTTTTCGATTTTTTAGGGTTTTTCTTTTTCGCTGAGACCTTCTTTGGTCCTTGCACGGTCAGGCTGCCCAGGCAAACAAGATGTGACCCGGACGGCCCGGCTGGTAGCCTAGGCCTTATATATAGGGTTCAGCCTCCTGATCAGTCGGTGAAACTTCGACGAAACAGTTTGTCAAAGGCCCTCGTTTCTTGTCCTATTTTCCCTCTCTGCCTACGGTTTACCGGGCAGCTCTGTTTGACGATATAACTCATCAAGCCAATCATTCACATCGAGAGACAGAGAGAGAGAATAATAAGTGAAGCGAGGGAGAGAGAGAGAGAGAGGACCCCCGGTCATTATCGCTGTACCTAGGCATATGAAATTTGCCCCGCGACCGTCTTCACAAGGAGAGAAAACGGCCGTTCTTATGCAACACACCTCCGCTACCAGAGTGGCCCGGGACCACTTGCCCGGCCGGGCCAAAAAAAGGTAAAAAAAAATAAAAAATTATTTATTTCTTTTTTTGGGAAGAATTTCAATGTGACCCTGAGGCAAAAGTTGTTCAATTTATTTTTCTGCATAACATAGTTTTTTTCGGTTTTTTTCTAGGCTACCAGCCGGGCCGCCCGGGTCACCCTATTTTCCCGGACGGCCAGCCGTGCAAGGACCAGAGAAGGTCCTAGCAACAAAAAAAGAACCAAAACAAAATCCAAAAAATCCGAAAAAAAACTATGTTGCAGAAAAATAAAGTGAACAACTTTTGCCTCCGGATCACATCGAAATTCTGTACCAAATTTAAAGTAAAAATTTAAATTAAAAATAATTTATGAATTTTTTTTTTTTTTTTTTTTTTTTGGCCTAGCCGGGCAAGTGGTCCCGGGCCACTCTGGTAGCCTAGCGTTTGGGGGCATTTTGCACACATAGGTAGGTAGGTAGGTAGGTAGGTAGGTAGGTAGGTAGGTAGGTAGGTAGCTACCCCTTTGAACGTCAACCTATTGGACAGCTCTCCCCCTGTTTCTCTCCTGCTTCTCCCCCTCCTTTCTCGTGCTCGTTCTACTCTCTTCTGTCTTGCTACTTGTAACCCCTCCTCTCTCCTTCTTCTTCATGTTGACCCAGCCGTGCAAGGACCAGGGAAGGTCCTAGCAAAAAAAAAAAAAAAAAAAAAAAAAAAAATCGAAAAAATCCGAAAAGAAACTATGTTGCATCCAAACTCGGAAGCCAAGCGTCGTTGGACAGGAGTACCCTTTTTTTTTTTTTTTGAAAAAATAATAATAAAGCTGCATCCTCCTCATCCGGGGACAGCCATATATTTTTCTCTCACCTCACATATCTTTTTAACTGGCGTTCTGTCACATGTCATGCATGGAACATATCTTTTTCCTTTCGCTACCTACCTACCACTACTCCTAAGGCTATACAGGGGACCCCTGCAAGCATGGCTTTCTACTTCCCTTCGGTGACAGGAGCACAATTGGTATGGGTGGGAAAACAAAAACCAAAAAAAAAAAAAAAAAAGGCACTGGCATGGGTGACCTCCCGCGAAGACCACCGGAAGCCAAGCACCGTTGGGAGTTGGGACCTGTGTTAGTTACCAGAGTGGCCCGGGACCACTTGCCCGGCCAGGTCGAAAAAGAACAAAAAAAATAAAATAAAAAGTGTCATTAATACTCGTTATTTAAATTTATTTTCCATTAAAAATTTTATTTTTGATTTGGCAACGAACTTTGATGTGACCCTGAGGCAAAAGTTGTTCCGTTTATTTTTCTAAATAACATAGTTTTTTTTTTTCGGATTTTTAAATCATTTTTTGGATTTCCTTTTTTTTTGCATGACATTGTATTTTTTTCAGATTTTTGGGATTTCCTTTTTCTTTTGCAGGGACATTCCTTATCCCTTGCCTGACCGGGCCGCCCGGGCAACCAAGGTGACCCGGGCGGCCCGGTTGGTGACACACAGGTTGGGACGGAGTACGGCTGGGATAGGTGACCTCCTGGGAAAGACGAGCAGTTTCTAAACCAGTCAGGCGCTTTTAATGCGTCCCGATCCCATCCGAACTCTGAAGCCAAGCGTCAATAGGCCGGACCAGTCTTGGGATGAGTGACCTCCTGGGGAAGACGGCCAGTTTCTAAATCGTTCAGTCTTCTACGAGCCTGGGAAGTTTGACAATGCGCTAACCACCTCATCATACATCGTCATCATCATCATCATCATAATCATCATGATAGTTGTCATCATCATCATCATCATCATCATCATAGTTGTCATCACCGTCATCACTATAATCATCATTATCTTCATCATCTTGATAATGGCGACAACAATGATGACGGATCATCATCATCACCCTGTCATCATCATCAGCAGCAGCCGATGCTGATGCTGATGATGATGATGATGATGATGATGATGATGATGAAGAATATGTGGAGACAACGCGGAAGTGGAGGAGGAGGAGGAGATGGATTTAAAACAAATTGAAAGAGCGAGGCCAATCTCTCAGCATCTGCACATAGAAAGAAAGAAGTCATCCCAGCACCTGCACAGACATGTCAAGCTCGAAAACGCGCACATTCCGCGACGCGTTTCGCCTGGCTGCGCTCCAGAATTTCTCAAGGCGCAAAGGAGGAGGAGGTAGGTGGTATGGGACCAACGGAAATAAAAATGAAGTCCATATTAAAATTGCTAAAACGAGAAGGACGTCATCATTGTCGTCGTCGTCATCATCATGATCATCATCACCACGTCATCATCATCATCAGCAGTATCAGTATCATCAGCCGATGGTGATGATGATGATGATTATGTGGAGACAACGAGGAGGAGGAGGAGGAGGAGGAGGGGGAGAAAGAGGAAGAGCATGGTAATACTGACCAGCAGAAACAAAAATGCAGTTCACATCTAAATTACTAATACGAGAAGGATGATGATGATGATGACGATGATGATGATGATGATGATGATGATGATGATTTTTGTTGTTATTGTTGATGATGATGATGATGATGATGACGATGACGATGACGATGACGTCAACGTTGAGAAGGAAAGGTGGAGATAGAGAGGAAGAAAACTTACGGCGATTTCATCCCTACTTTATGGATCCCTTTCCCCCATCTTTTTATCCCTTTACGGCGCCCTTTTATCCCTCCTTTTCCTTATCCCGTTTTCCTGTCGTCGCTTTCTACCCGCTTTTCAAATCGCATGACACCCCTACTTCAATTTTCGTTTATCCCTTTTCTCCCGCCTTCTTTCGGGCTCCTTCATCGTCCTCCTCACTCCCCACCTTTCTCCTTCCTCAGCTGCTCCTCCTTCCTTCCCTTCATCATCATCCTCGTCTTTCTTCACCGTCATCCTCCCCATCGTGGCCGGAAGCTTGTTCCATTTGTTGAGGTTCGTATGCCACAAACGTCACAGTTGTATCCATCTGACTGCGGCGAGATTCGAGCTCATGACCTGTTTTTTGACAGCAACAGGTGCATACCACTCACTTGGGTATAACCCTTTTCTTTTTCCCAACTCCTCACATTCATCCCCTCTCTCTCTCTCTCTCTCTCTCTCTCTCTCTCTCTCTCTCTCTCTCTCTCTCTCTCTCTC